GAGGTGGTTATGGAGCAAAAGAAACCTGCGTGCTCACCTCACAAGCCAGACCGTGAAGCGTGCTGTAGGAGAAAACAAGGTACAAGCGTGCTCAGTTCTGTCCCAACTGCTCAGACTAGGGAGGTTGCAAAAGAAGTGACATGGGAGCTGGTGCTTAAAGGAACAAAGGACTTCCAGGGCAGAGGGAATAGTGGTGAGAGAGTGCAAAGCATGGTTAGCAAGTAACAAATGGTACCGAGATAGCAGTCTTAAAAGATGCTCTAGAGCGAGGGTGAAAATAGCTTAGAAGACTATGCTAGGGCATAAACGAGGAGAATCAGAATGAGGATAGTCCAGAGACATTTTAAAGGTAGAGTTGAGTAAGACTTGACAACCAATTAGTACATGTATAAAGAGACAAGAGAAAATACATATTACTACTAGATATTTAGTGTTTATGACTGGATGTATGGAAATTACATTAATCATGACAAGATAAATTAGAAGTTTCAGGTTTGGGTAGGAAGAAAAGGGAGTTAGATTTTAGGCATATTCACTCAAAACGGTGTGCAACATTGAACAAAAAGCTAGAAGCTGAAGCTTATTGCCTGGGAAAAGAGACAGAGCTGGAGATGTAGGTTGAAGGATCCAGGCTGGGTTTGGAAGGAAAGAAGACTGCAAGGGCCGATAGGCTGCGTTGAGATTAAATGCAGCTGAGATCCTGAGAGCTGCAAAAGCTGTAAGAACAGTAGCGATAAGTCTGAATGCATAAGGAGGAGCCTTTCTAAATGGTCAGGCCTGAGGTATTGCATATGAAACAAAAATGGAAAGTGAGATTCCTGTCTGTAGTTAGTTATCAGCTAACTTTGAACTAAAGCTTTATTTATGGTAACTTCACCAAACAGTATAAAAATAGCTCTATGTGAAAAGTAAATGCAAAAAATATTCACTTTGCAAAAAAACATAAGGATTGGCCAAACGTAGTAGCTCATGCTTATAATCCTAGCACTCTGGGAGGCAGAGGTGGGAGGATGAGCTAAGGAGCTCAAGACCAGCTTGAGCAAGAGTAAGACCCCCATCAGTACTAAAAATAGAAAAACTTAGCTAAGCATTTTAGTAGGTGTCTATAGTTCCAGCTGCTCTGGAGGCTGAGGCAAGAGGATCACTTGGGCCAAGAAGTTTGAGAGCTAGGCTGTGAGCTAGACTCACACCATGGCACTCTAGCCTGGACCACAGAGTGAGACTCTCTCAAAAGAAAAATCAAAAGATTAAGGTTGATATATTAATTATGATGAAGGCTTGCATGGAAGCATAGTCTGTTGCTTATTCTTAACCTTTCTCACAGGAATTCACAATGAACAACTATTTTTCTGTTGGACCTGATGCTCTCATGGCTCTCAATTTTCATGCTCATCGTGAGAAGGCACCATCTCTGTTTTCTAGCAGAATTCTTAATAAGGTGTGTTGGATAAAATAACATTTCCTGCTTATCACTGAAGGTACAGTAAAAATCAATAGTTCAATTATATTTAGCACTCTTAGATTTGGATTGAGATAACTTCAGGAACCATTTATCTGCTCTGTTGTGTAAGATCATCAAATTAGATCCTTAAATGTCTTTTATCAAAGTATTTTATAATTATAACTAATATTTTTAAGTTCAAAGTAGGGATGATTGACAGGCCTGGCATGGTGACTCACACTCTGGGAGGCCCAGGAGGGCAGATCACCTGAGCTCATGAGTTCAAGGCCAGCCTGACCTAGTGTAAGACCCCATCTCTAAAAATAGCCAGGCATTGTGGTGGGCGCCTGTAGTCCCAGCTACTTGGGAGGCTGAGGCAAGAGAATTCCTTGAGTCCAAGAGTTTGAGGTTGCTGTGAGCTGTGACTCTACAGCACTCTACCAGGGGTGACAAAAATAAGATTCTATCTCAAAAAAAAGAAAAAAAAAATGGGGGCTGTGCCTGTGGCTCAGTGGTTAGGGTGCCCACCAAGGGTGGCGGATTCAAAC